TATTGATTCTTTATATTGAATGTACATGTACACCGAGCATATGAAACTATAAATGCTGGTTAAGCTCATGGCTGCACTATATGACTTAAAATTATGGAAGCAACGTGGAGATTGTTGGGAGTCGAACTGTTGATCACTTTGATTTAAATTGTGCTTCCACAAATTTAACTAAAAACGTGTTTTGTGAAGTGACACTTTACTAATGGAAAGAGTTAAATGGATTGTGGATTGTGACACGTGCTGATCTCTTGGCCGTTGGATCTGATTCTAGATCATTCTATGTATTTAACCCTAAATGGCTTGGGTGGCTGTTGGTTTTTCATTCTACTCCATTTGGCTTCTCGAGTTCGAGGGTTTTTGAGTTGCCTCTCTTTCTCTCTCGATGAATCTCTCATTTTGGCTCTGTTCTTGAGTGATTTTCAGAACTCTTTCTTGAGTTAATCTATAATATATTATAGATCTCTAAACTGCTGAACTGCCGTGTTGAGTTTATGGAAACTTGAGTGGTTTCATGTAATGTGCAGTCTGGTTTGATGAAATCTTGGTGATTTCTTGTGTTTCCTGTGTAGAATAGCTTACATATTGTATAATGACTTGTGAAGTCATGTGATTCTTGGATGGCAGTTCCTGTGACTTAAGTGTTTGAGTGATCTGTTCGTGGTTTCTTCGTGAACCGTGGTCTGCCTTGGTGAATCTTTATGAGATAAGTTTTTGTGACTTGTATATTGTAATATTCTGCAAACATTGTATACTTACTGCCTGATTTTGGAGGCCTTATAGTGCAACCGAACTGAATCCATTGATAGTGGATGCTCAATAGGGGATTAGGCACTTGTGCTAAACCTCTGGGGCTTCGGTCGGAAAAAATCATCATGTTCATTATTTTTGCACTTTTATTTTCTGCATTTCTTGGTTCGGTTTCTATGAATGTTGGTTAATCTTGAGTAACTCGACATTTCAGTATTCTCAGTCATGTACACCAATCACCATATCAAAAATGTAAACATGTATTTTTTTTTTTTTAATATTATGAAGAATCCGCAGTCACTACCCTTCGAGTGTGCATTAGGTAAACCCTCGGATTGATGCAAATAGCCTGCAAACCACGTCAGTTAGGTAAATCGCACTAGGCAAGCTCAGTGCTACAGGCTTGACCAAGAAAGTATTGGTAGGGAGAGTCGAACTCGTGACCAAAGGCCTCCGCGCTTATCTACTCCACCAACTCGACCACCCCATGAGGGGCAATAATATAATGAAGAGAAAAAAAGTGCTTACTATGACACGTCCTCGCATAAAAAAGTGCTAATTTGTTTCGTGAAGGGCATGCATTCAGTATGAAATCCAAATTAGCCGTGTTTAGATGATTTGTAATTAATACCAAATTGGTCATTGATAAATTGCCCAGAAACTTGATTCTGCAACCAGATAATCAACAATTTATCTATATAATCAAACGTAAACCCAATGAGGTCATCAAGTTCTTTGAACATGCAAACATAGAAGAGAAAAGAAAAGAATTCTACGTACAAAACCAACAAAAATTCCAAATTAAAAAAAAAAAAAAAAAAGAGTCAAACCTTCTTTAAATCTTAAATACTTGTTCTCCATTCTTCAATAATAAACTCAATGTTATGGTATACGTTCGAAATAAAAAAAGCATTACACAACTAATGATACAATGTAACATTTCATAGTACGCCTAGTTGACAAAGTCAGAATTGTCTATTCTTCATAATCGCTAGGGAATCTGATATTAGGAATCTGAAATAGCAAAGTATAGAGTGAAAATTATTCGAAATAATGTGGAAAGCACGTATTATAGCATTCAAATTTCAAAGGTATTCATATTGAGTTGATGAATATGTTAATAGATTCCACACTTGCATCCACAAAAAGATATAATGTCATGTATGCGTTTGACCATCACAAATATTTCATAAATTAGACTCTCATTAAGAACAAATGTGATTGGGATGTATTGATCACCCAATCCACATGAAAATTTGTCAAATATAGATGTATCAACTCACACAAACTTTCATTCCTGAACAAAAATATTTAAACAAGTCCTGTTTCAAAGAGATGAAATCACGTTAATATTAATTGTGAATGGCACGAATTCAATATGAAATCCACCTAAACATTTTAATGAAAGAGGGATCAGTGTGATTTAGTTTCGTACATTACAAAATATATAAATAGGTAAAATTTTGAATATGCGTAATCCCAGTGATAGCAACATGGATTGACAATATTTCAGTATCCATTCCATCCTTATATTTCGTTGGCAGATGCATCAAGACTTACACTATTTTATGCGTGCACAAAAATGTAATGATCTCCTACTTCAAATTGGTTTACCGTACTGACATCCAATTTCTCGAATATTGATAAACTCGAGGCAAGATCATTGCGCGATGATGAGTAATATCCAACGCTCATTTAACATAATTTTTTGCATATTCAAACTGCACATACATAAAACCAGATACATAGCGACAAATAAATTTACAAGGAAGTTAGATATTATTCCATTATGAATTCAAAGATAAAAATACTTGACCCAAATCAATCCATGATGTTTTTTATATAGGGATTTAGCGAATCACAACAAATTTAAATTACATCATAAAAACTAATATTACCTCACGATGTAAAGAATTGCTTTCTAATTTGGAAAACCCACTTTTCCTCTTTGTCTTGTAGCAACATCATTTAATGAATGGCTCTATTTGAATTAGCATCTATCCTGCAATCACATTAATGATTTTGGTTAAAAACGATTAACAAGCAAATTTCGTAACACGGTATTTTTGGTTATATTTCATACCTTTGTAGTATTATTAAAATTATTTGCAATCTCTGACAATAATATGAAATGTTTTTTATTTAGTGGGTATATTTGATTTTTTCCCTAGATTATTTGGGTTTAGCCCAGACGATATAATGACTTTAAAACCTTTGGACAGAGAATGGGCTTTAAGCCCATAACATCAAAGTCATTAGTGGACCAAAGAATGCAAAAGGTAAACAATCCAAAGGCCTCCGCCCAATTTAGACTTTCCAGTCTCCACGGTTCCACCCCCAGTGAGCATGTGAGGATGGGTCATTACATTTACCCAAATAATGCTGTCTTTAGTCCTTGGAAATATTCTTTAGGAGATGTTTCACTCTGAATTGGATAATGCAGTGTGTTGGCAAAAAACTGTTGGCTACCAAAGAGTTTTGTTAAAACTATCCAATTACATGATGCCACGTTACATTTTGTAAACGAAATTCTCATCCATGATTTTACACCAAGCATAATTATTATTGGATAACACTGCATAGCACAATTGACAAAAGTTCAAACCTTTTTTTTCTTTACTCTATCTGCCCAGTACCCAACAATCCAACTCCAACCTACCCAAAGATTTTCTTTCTTAAAGTTCTCTTGAGAAACAAGGCGAAATTATATGCACGTGGCTGGCTTATCAAAAGCTTTGAGGACCACAACCTTCTCTATTCCTCATTACATTTACCCAAATAATGCTGTCTTTAGTCCTTGGAAATATTCTTTAGGAGATGTTTCACTCTGAATTGGATAATGCAGTGTGTTGGCAAAAAACTGTTGGCTACCAAAGAGTTTTGTTAAAACTATCCAATTACATGATGCCACGTTACATTTTGTAAACGAAATTCTCATCCATGATTTTACACCAAGCATAATTATTATTGGATAACACTGCATAGCACAATTGACAAAAGTTCAAACCTTTTAAAATATTTTTTAATTAATTATTTAATTTATAGAATTTAGTTAAGACATGATAGTTGAAATAATAAACCTAATTTCTTATTTTTGAAATTGTACCTTGCAACCATCTCATATCCTTATATATGTAATGTTCTCTTATTCAAAAGTACTGTATGAATATTTTTCAAATAATAGGTAGTTTCTATAAGCTCCCATTTGGCCCCCTCTCTTTCAATTTTTAATGAGTGAAATAGTTTCTTTTTTTTTTTTTTCGATTTTTTAAAACGGTGAAAACGCGTTTTCTTTTTTTTTTTTGAAAAAGGGTTTAAAAAAAAAAACCAAAAAAAAAAAAAAAAAAAAAAAAAAAAAAAAAAAAAATCACATTCTGCTAGTTTACATGATATTGCAACCAGTAGCATTTTCATCACTGAAGATGTGAGTATAGTGATCACCAGGAGGCGGTCCATAATTCATCGGCGGTTGTTGGCGCGCATACATCATAGGATGGTACATATCGTGGCCACTTGCCCGCTGCTGGTTCATCATCATCTGTGCCATGTTTTGCTGCATAATATACGGGTTTCCCTGTCCCATCCCTTGGTAGTGACCGGAATTCATACCGGCCATAGCTGGAAATCCTTGCATTGCCGGAATATTCCCCATTTGACCCATTGGATAGCTACCCATCTGTCCCATTGGACCCATATTTCTACCTCCGGCGCTGCCTTTCTGAATCACATCGAACCCCTGCTGCTTATTGCCCATTTTTTGGCCCACGTTAAAATTTTCGCCCCCTTTCTTACCCCAATTATCATTGTTCTTCTCACCAAAACCACTATCCTTCGTACCCTTGCCACCCTTTGCAACTCCGCCATTTTTGCCACCACCATGATTTTGATTTCCCTTCCCTTCATTTTCATTCTTATGCTTACTTTTTCCAGTTAAGCCTTTAAAAAACATATCAATACCACTGCTTTTCTTGCCATCTCTGCCCTTATTACCACCACTACCTTTTGCAGGGCCATTTTTAATTTTATTAGGCCCATGTAGTCCCTGGCCGCGGCCGCCGCCCTTATTCATCATTTTATTGGGTTGATGGTGGTGATCATCAAAATCATCGTCCAACTCATCATCGAACTCATCATCATCCTCGTCAAACTCATCATCGAACTCATCAAAATCATCGTCTTCCTCGCCTTCGGGCAACTTGAACTTGACAGATTTTTGGTCCTTGCCCGGAAATTTCACGTCTTTAAATCCTTTGTTCTGTTGCATCTCCTGAAAAGCTTGATTTGCACCCTTTTGTTGGTTCTTCCCACCCTTTTGGGATTTATTATCTTTTTCACCCTTAAAATTGTCAAATTGAATGTCTTTGAACTGATTGCTCCATAGATTAGGACCCTTTTGTGCTCCCCATAGCTCGGCATGCTTACCTGCCTTATCAAGCTTCTTTATAAGTGTTGCTGGATCAACATTTCCAGATACTGTCACCTTCCCTTGGTCCACATCAATTTTCACCGAATATACTCCTAAAAGAGTAATTAAGCCCAGAAAATAAGTAAAATCGAAGCAAATTGCTGTGGGAACATATAGAAACAACACCCGACCAAGTTTCGTTTCCAGTAAATTTAAAATCGTCTAGACATCTTTTTTTCACCTGAAGATTCGTGTTACAAGATTTGACTAAGTTTTACACCGCCCTTTACACAAATTTACTATGTTCACTTAAGATTCATGTCATAAAATTTGACTGAAGTTTTGTGCCGGTTCTCATTGGACAAAGCCTTTAGCCCGAACCGAGAACACAGACAGAGTTACATTATGAGAAAAAACATAAAGATTTCATGGTAAAAACTCAATTTTACCTTCAATCTTCTGCAGTTTCTTTTTAACCTTGTGCTTACAACCATCACAGTGTATGTTAACTCTCAGAACACAAGTCTGTAGGAAGCAAAATAAACATTTATTATATAAGCAAAACTATGAATAAATCAAATAACCCACACGACGTTCATAAAGCATAGAGCTTTAAAATACCTGGATCTTCAACATATCTTGCTTATTCATTCTGTTAAGCTTAATCTGAAAGAAAACAGCGAAATAGGCCAAGCGAAAAAAAGGGTTTGCAGAGAATTTTAAGTAACTTAATCAGAGTGCAGTTTCCTTTGTACTGTTGGTTGAATGGTTCGAAAAGAGAGAAAAAAACAACTATGCTGCTTCTACTTCTAGTGCATTGTCCATATGAGCTTTCTTCTTGAGTGGATCTAAATATCTATATATATAATATTTTATATAGGCACACAGACACAATAAAAGATGACATTTGACCAGTGACAGACAGCTAATAGTTGTCTTGTCTAACTGGGTTAGGTTGATTTCCTTTCCTCAGTGCAGACGGACAGAGTACTATTACCGTATTTCATTTGGCTGGTCCGATTTTGCCACTTTACCTGAAGAGATTTAACAAATGCAGTTATATAATTCTAAGGTGCTAACAGATTATTTGATAAAAAAGTTGTTTGTATTTAAATAGTTCAATAATAAAATATCACGTGACGTTTGTCACTGTAACGTGACTTTAGCTGGTTAGACTTGATGGTTCCTGGAAAATCAATCCTGAATGTGTAAATTTCATCGGCTATCATCCAACTTCAAATTAGCTTCAAAGTTTATTAGTATTACATCCCGTCACGTATCATTACCTAAATAGATACAAAATGGCTTAGTTGACATGTACATTTTTTAATTGATCTCCCAATGGCTTAGTTGACATGTACATTTTTTAATTGATCTCCCCCATGATCGCTATTTTATATCCTAGCAATGAAAATATAAAATGAGAGTCATGATAGTGTTTTGAATGAAAAGGTTAAAATGTAACGACACAACATGCTATGAAATGATCAATCGAATATGCATTTTAATATCATTGTCAATGAAGTAGTTTCATCAATTCGGGACACAATTCCTTATGGTGCTGTGAATTTGAAATTAAAATAAGGTTTATCGACCAATTGAAACTGAATTAAAGTTTAGTGCCCTAAATAAGATTATTCTGAAAGTTCAGTTACCACAGATGAAATTAACCTATGATGGATACAAACCGTGCAATAGTTCCTGTTTTAGTAAATTGCAGGATTGGTCAAAGTACGGAGACATTAAGTAATTGATACAATGGCCTGTTTGTCTGAGATTATAATCACTCTATAAGCTTAGCGAAACATGCTTTCAGACCATGGACAAGCACCGGCTGGCAGAGAAATTTTTTGATTTTTATCTTTCGATTTTTGTTTTTTAACTACAAGTCAGTATTAAACACACACGCAGTGACGCTGAAAAGTATTGTATCGAGTCGCGTCTATTTTGACACCTCTAATTGAACTAACTGGTATACACGTCAATTGATCAAAAAAATTATTTTTCATGTTATTAGATATTGCTCCTTCGATTTCATTGCATATCTCCCCTCCAAGCTTCATGCAAAAATAATAATAATAATAATAATAATAATAATAAAATTACTTAACAGTAAATTAAATTATAAGTCAACATGATGGGCACTAAGAGTGTAAACACAAATTAAAAGTTGTTCAAAAATTGGTTTTGTGTGTATTTGGACCCCTCTTTGCCGAGTGCCAACCTAAATTATTATTTCTTAACCCCATAAGGACTATAAATTGGCCTTTCAAGAAAACCTTTGTGCAAAAGGGGTTTGAATACCGACCAAAAAGACCCCACGAGTAGTAGCAGCAAATTATCTTTTTGGAATACTACTTTAGTGATCGTCTCGATGATCGACATAACATAAATTAGACAAAGCTAGAGATTATAATTATGAAATAACATTTGTGTGTTGTTATGTTCAGTTTACGATGAAATCTCATTTGAATAAATTTACCTATCTTTAATGCAAGTCATATAACATTCACCTCATTTCTTGACCCATCTCGATTGTTAAATTTTTAGTTGCAATCTCCCACTTTTACCTCACTTTGTACTTTTATCCACGACTATTATTATTATTATTATTAGACAATGTAGGTCATTACAGACGATTTCTATTCAAAATGATCGTTCAATATTAACTAAACCCTTAGTCCCGTTTTTCAACTACCCCAAACCCAAGGACCACCCTTGCCAACCCCAAGTCCTATGAGAAAGTGTGACATTCGATCTAGAGATTCAAATCAAAACCCATGCAAAAGTACTTAGACGGGCAACATAATTAAACAAAATAATATCAAATTACGGGTACAAAAGGGGAAAGGAAAAGATATGGTTGGAATTTCTATTGATTATCAAATTATATATGTAATCGTCCATTGACAAGGGAAAAAATATTTTTAATTTTACCAAATCTTCAATGGCATTTTATTTTATCTTGTTTGATTTTTTTTTAATTATTTTTTTGGGGGGTTGTGTAGATGTGACCAATAAATGAATACCCATTAGGACCATCATCACTGGTCACACTCATGGGTGTAGCCAAGTAGTACAGCCTCTCTAACGACACAACATGCTATGAAATGATCAATCGAATATGCATTTTAATATCATTGTCAATGAAGTAGTTTCATCAATTCGGGACACAATTCCTTATGGTGCTGTGAATTTGAAATTAAAATAAGGTTTATCGACCAATTGAAACTGAATTAAAGTTTAGTGCCCTAAATAAGATTATTCTGAAAGTTCAGTTACCACAGATGAAATTAACCTATGATGGATACAAACCGTGCAATAGTTCCTGTTTTAGTAAATTGCAGGATTGGTCAAAGTACGGAGACATTAAGTAATTGATACAATGGCCTGTTTGTCTGAGATTATAATCACTCTATAAGCTTAGCGAAACATGCTTTCAGACCATGGACAAGCACCGGCTGGCAGAGAAATTTTTTGATTTTTATCTTTCGATTTTTGTTTTTTAACTACAAGTCAGTATTAAACACACACGCAGTGACGCTGAAAAGTATTGTATCGAGTCGCGTCTATTTTGACACCTCTAATTGAACTAACTGGTATACACGTCAATTGATCAAAAAAATTATTTTTCATGTTATTAGATATTGCTCCTTCGATTTCATTGCATATCTCCCCTCCAAGCTTCATGCAAAAATAATAATAATAATAATAATAATAATAATAAAATTACTTAACAGTAAATTAAATTATAAGTCAACATGATGGGCACTAAGAGTGTAAACACAAATTAAAAGTTGTTCAAAAATTGGTTTTGTGTGTATTTGGACCCCTCTTTGCCGAGTGCCAACCTAAATTATTATTTCTTAACCCCATAAGGACTATAAATTGGCCTTTCAAGAAAACCTTTGTGCAAAAGGGGTTTGAATACCGACCAAAAAGACCCCACGAGTAGTAGCAGCAAATTATCTTTTTGGAATACTACTTTAGTGATCGTCTCGATGATCGACATAACATAAATTAGACAAAGCTAGAGATTATAATTATGAAATAACATTTGTGTGTTGTTATGTTCAGTTTACGATGAAATCTCATTTGAATAAATTTACCTATCTTTAATGCAAGTCATATAACATTCACCTCATTTCTTGACCCATCTCGATTGTTAAATTTTTAGTTGCAATCTCCCACTTTTACCTCACTTTGTACTTTTATCCACGACTATTATTATTATTATTATTAGACAATGTAGGTCATTACAGACGATTTCTATTCAAAATGATCGTTCAATATTAACTAAACCCTTAGTCCCGTTTTTCAACTACCCCAAACCCAAGGACCACCCTTGCCAACCCCAAGTCCTATGAGAAAGTGTGACATTCGATCTAGAGATTCAAATCAAAACCCATGCAAAAGTACTTAGACGGGCAACATAATTAAACAAAATAATATCAAATTACGGGTACAAAAGGGGAAAGGAAAAGATATGGTTGGAATTTCTATTGATTATCAAATTATATATGTAATCGTCCATTGACAAGGGAAAAAATATTTTTAATTTTACCAAATCTTCAATGGCATTTTATTTTATCTTGTTTGATTTTTTTTTAATTATTTTTTTGGGGGGTTGTGTAGATGTGACCAATAAATGAATACCCATTAGGACCATCATCACTGGTCACACTCATGGGTGTAGCCAAGTAGTACAGCCTCTCTACTTTTTTTTAGTTAAAAAGCAATGTTTTATCTTTAAAAATATTCAATTTCAAATTATTTTTTTATTAATAAAGCATTCCACAGTAGTAATTGTAAGTTATTCTAAAATTTAAACTCAGATTCTAAAATCTTTGATCAATGATAAAATGGACCACGGGAAATAATCATTATTTCCTGATTTGCCATTAAAGTACCACTATTTGTCCTCTCTCCTATTATACAAACATTTATCATACTATAGGTATTACTAGCAAATATTGTAACAATATAATAGATTCTAATAAAACTCAATTTGGTCCTTAAAGTATCACGTATATAGCTAGTTCATCTTCAACTTTAAAGAAAAAGTACAATTTGATCTCAACCCATTCTTAGGCTTGACGTTCGGTGAGTCAATCAGGGTAATTTTAATAACCAAAATCATTCATTACACTTCGAATATTTCGTAAATGAAACTATTTCGATCCACAATTACTGAAACTAAATGCAAGTTTCGATTCGATTATATACATAATACTTTCAAAAAAATCACGAGCTGACAATAAAAATTGTCTTCCAATATTTAGAAGAAATGAAATATATTACAAAAAACATATTTCAACACTTTTATTAAAACATTGCAAATATGTCACCAAATAATATCTAATATCATCTAGCATAATAACATCCAATTTTGATTATTGTTGCTATGCATGCAGCACTTCAAGAAAGTTACGTGAGTTGGACAGTGTGTAAAGTGCAACCAAAAATAGCTATAAGTGAGAGTGAAATGATTCTATTATTCAATAAATAATTTCATTGAGTAGAGTACTCATTACTTCAACCTTGCAAACTTTGTTGGGCCTTGAAAGGTTCGATTTCGGTAAAACTGTTCACGCCTATATTTCATTGTAGGTGAACAATCAAGGACCGAAACTATTCAAGTATATGTAAATCATCACCTGACAATTTTATGATATATTTAGTGAATTACAAATGACAATTGAATGAAAATTTGCACATTTTTTGTCAATAAAAACTAAATACGTTGAGTGTGATTCAAGCATTCAACATACAATTTTATGATATATTTTTATGAATTATGAAGACCCAATGACAATTTAGCGAAAATTCGCACAATTAATGTCAAATAAAAACTAATTATTTTAAAGTGTAATTCAACATTAAAGATCCACTTATTCCCTTTTTAAGATTAGGGACCAAATTAGTAATAAAGGAATAAGCTGGGCGAAGTGTTGCAATTTTTCCGGATGCCAATTAGTTGTATTTAATTTATTTAAAGGAAAAAAAATAGTCCGCAACTCATTTGGTCAAACTTCTAGTAAAAGTAATCTACTCTACAATTCAAAAAGAGATCAATGAATACCCATTAGGACCATCATCACTGGTCACACTCATGGGTGTAGCCAAGTAGTACAGCCTCTCTACTTTTTTTTAGTTAAAAAGCAATGTTTTATCTTTAAAAATATTCAATTTCAAATTATTTTTTTATTAATAAAGCATTCCACAATAGTAATTGTAAGTTATTCTAAAATTTAAACTCAGATTCTAAAATCTTTGATCAATGATAAAATGGCCCACGGAAAATAATTATTATTTCCTGATGTGCCATTAAAGTACCACTATTTGTCCTCTCTCTTATTAAACAAACATTTATCATACTATAGGTATTACTAGCAAATATTGTAACAATATAATAGATTCTAATAAAACTCAATTTGGTCCTTAAAGTATCACGTATATAGCAAGTCCATCTTCAACTTTAAAGAAAAAAGTAAAATTTGATCTCAACCCATTCTTAGGCTTGACATTCGGTGAGTCAATCAGGGTATTTCAATAACCAAAATCATTCATTACACTTCGAATATTTCGTAAATGAAACTATTTCGATCCACATTTACTGAAACTAAATGCAAGTTCCGATTCAATTACATGCATAATATATATTTTTTTAAATTCGTGAGCTGACAATAAAAATTATCGTCAAAAAACATATTTTAACACTTTTATTAAAACATTGCAAATAAGTCACCAAATAATATCTAATATCATCTAACATAATAATATCCAATTCTGATTATTGTTGTCATGCATGCAGCACTTGAAGAGAGTTATGTGAGTTGGACAGTGTGTAAAGTACGACCAAAAATAGCTATAAGTGAGAGTGAAATGATTCTATTATTCAAATAAATAATTTCATTGAGTAGAGTACTCGCTACTTCAACCTTGCAAACTTTTGTTGGGCCTTGAAAGGTTCGATTTCGGTAAAACTATTCACACCTATATTTCATTGTAGGTGAACAATAAAGGACCGAAACTATTCAAGTATATGTAAATCATCAACTGACAATTTTATGATATATTTTGTGAAGATCAAATGACAATTGAGTGAAAATTCTCACATTTGTTGTCAATAAAAACTAAATACGTTGAGTGTGATTCAAGCATTCAACATACAATTTTATGATATATTTTTATGAATTATGAAGACCCAATGACAATTTAGCGAAAATTCGCACAATTAATGTCAAATAAAAACTAATTATGTTAAGTGTAATTCAACACTAAAAGATCAACTTATACCCTTTTAAAGATTAGGGACCAAATTACTAAAAAAGGAAAGTGTTGCAATTTTTTCCGGATGCCAATTAGTTGTATTTTACTTATTTAAAGGAAAAAAATTGTCCGCAACTCATATGGTCAAAGATATAGTCAAAGTAGTATAATCTACTATTCAAAAAGAGATTAAGTATTCCTGCTATTTCAAAGAGTCCAAGCATCAGAGCCCTAAAGAACTATCTCACTGTAACCAAAATATATCCCACTTTATAATTCCACAGTCCAATTAATTCTATTGCTGTTCACCAGACAAGAAAATTCAGCTGATTACAAATTCCATTTTTGTTTACTCCATGGGTCAAGCATTGGGCACTCCCCCTCCATCTCTTCTAAAATTGTTTAATGTTACCATTTACATAGATCAAATAGCCGAGTGTTGATGGCAACGTAAAGAAGTCCATGCAATGGATATCATTTTATGAGTTAATATTTGTATTATTGTGTTTCTACTTTAATTGATGTACATATATCCATAGTAATCAGTAAAGAAAGGCAACTCATTTCATGGGAGCAGAAACCTAATTTGGATGTCCCGAGTTGGAAAGGGGAACAAAATTGAGGGAGGGGGGAAGATATTATCTAAGTAACAGCAAAGATAAAATAAAGGAATATAATATTTCTATACACAGTATAACATACCATAATATTGGGTAGATGAAGCTATAACCTTAGCAAGAGCGAAGATATTTTGTAGAAGCCCTAAAACATAGATGTTGGGAAAGTTTTACACCAGATGATATTCCTATTGAGGTTTGAAAGTGTCGAGACGATATTGGAATATATTCATTAACCAAGTAATCTCAACCAAAATGATTCTAGATGATTGAAGGGAAAGCCATTTCTAAAAATAAAGACGATATTCAAAATTGTATAAATTATCATGGCAATTAGTTCACAAAAGACAATAGAACCTTGGAGAGAGTGATTGAGACACGAATTAATCTTGAAATGACACTTTAAGAAAATTAATTTAGATATATGATGTATAAGCTATTTATTTGCTAAAAAGACTAGTGGAGCAGACAGAGGGAGGAGGAAAACCTTCACGCAATTTTACTTGATTTAGTGAAGATGTATAATAGAGCATAAGAAAAAGCAATATGGTAGAACTTACAAAAGAAAGGAGTTATACTGGTCCTGTCAATATTATTAAAGATCTGTGCAAGGGAAATATGACCACTTTAAAAACTAAAGTAGAGTAGCGATCTCCCTATTGCTATATGGCCACATCAAGGGTCCCATTCAAGCCTACATTTGTTTATTCTTACCATGTACTAACAAACTAATTACATATGAGACATTATCATCCATATTCTTTGTGGGTCACCGGTCAAGTCATCCTAGTGGATGAAGCTAGAATGGCACTTGTTTCTTAGTTGGAGTTGTGGAGAGAACATCTTGAAACAACAATTCAAAGTAAAACAATGTGACACCAAGTAAATTGAGTGTGAGTTTATTAAATGTAGAACTCATTTGAGGCACAGTTGAGATTAGAGGCCATAAAATATAAAAATGGGAAGGGAGATAGTGGAAGAGATGTAAAAGGATTAAGATTGGTTGTGCTAAGTGGAGAAGTGCCCCAAACAGACAAATTGTATACACAGTTAAAAGTGAAACTTTAAGGGACTGTTGTACCTCCAATATTGTATGAAAAATGTTAAATTATTAAGAAACATCATCTCCACAAGTTCAATTTCGCTGAGATAAGAATATTGAGAAGGTTTTACTATTAAACAGGGCAATAGAAGAAATTATAATATTTTTTTGAGTGCCAGAATTGAATATTCACATCCATTTTCTGTGATCCTTTCACAGCTTCTCTTGAAGCATAGAGCTAGTGCAAATAAGTAATATGTTAGCCAAATAGACTTAATATATGTAATTCATATAAACAAAATTTACATGAATTCATCTTTCTCATGTACAATATTAGGTTTTTAATGACTAGATGCAAAAATAATTTGCAAGACTCTTCATTAAAACAGCATGATTGCAATTTGCACAACACTAACTAGATATTTCTAAGCATCTTGTATAAAATTTCATCACAGCTTCTCAAAATTGAAACCGGATATGGTACACGATATTAACTTAGGGAAATCATTTTTCCTCGCCTCAGCACCAGTGAGTTTATGTCTTCTATCGGCTGGGTGCTAGGGATAGAAAACCAATTATTTATCCTAATGTTTCTCTTACTAGCTTTATCTCTTAGCACTTTGATGCTCAGATTGCCTAGAACTGTAATTGATTCAAGTTCTAATTTGAAATGGATAGACTACTTCAGTAATCAGTAATCAGTTTTCTCCCATCTCAAATCAATTCTAAACAAGCAATCAATCGATTCTTATAGTTTTTAACATCAATCACATCCTTAAACCTTTAAAATATTCCCTTTAGAGGCCGGTAACACATTTCAGATCCTTAACCATCAAAGTCAAAGGCAAACGACAAAACCACATCATCATCAAGCCAAAAAAATCACCATCCACATCAAACACAAGCATACAATATCACATATATTAACAGAAAACCGAAAGAAAAAGAATAAAATCAAGTATAAGCATATGTGAGCAAGACTTAAATACCTTCCATCAACCAAGGCATCAAAAGTGAAGGTTACCAATTGGTAATCTTGGTTCAGCTCATCCACTTGAAGCCTGATGGTGTCCTTGTGAATATTCACATCATTCTTGATCTTCTTGGCATTCTGGTGATCAACATAAGGCACTGGAGGCGGCGGCGGAGGGATTGGACCCCACCTCGTAGGGGGGATGAAATACGGACGGTAGTTGGAGTATTGACCCGTGATATGCATCGGCCTAGAATAGAAATTAGAGTAGTTCTGATTATAATTGTAATTAGGAAGATATGGAGGAGGAGGCAGTGGCGGAGGGAGCAGCGCAGGGGGGAGGTGCTGTGGTGTTGAAGAGGGTGCATGATAAGGTGCATTGGCTGCGAAGGAATAGCTTGGTGGTTCAGTGGGTTGGGGTGGTGATTGTGGTCGGGAAGTATTGGATGCTGATGTAGACTGTGGCGGTGGTTCAAGAGGGTTGACCGGAGGAGGAGGAGGGCTAGAAGAGGAGGATGGAGTGACAGGTTGTTGGTGGTGGTCATTAACTTGATTCTGGTAAGGCTGGTCGTAACGGTGCCTTTTACTCCACGAAATGCCCATTTGGATTCGAAGTCGCGGCGGGCAGTGGCGGTGGCCTCTAATGGTCGGATAATTTTTGGTCTAATTAGGAGAAAGAGAAGACTTTAGTCGGTAGCTGGTAAAAGCCGAGTATTCGAAGTTTCTACTGCACGGCCAATATGGCCCACACAGAAAAATAACCAAAAATATGTCAAATTTTTTTTAGTAGAATTCTGTTGTTGTATTTGTTGACAATGAATTTTCAACCCTCGTGTAACAACAAAAATAAATAAATAAAAATAATTTGACCCTCTACACAATCTAACTTGTCGTACCATTGACCATCCTATCTTTCAATACATTGATATCGAAATTTTCTTATTGCTGGACATGATAACTTGATATGACAATGGAAGGATCCATTCAATAAACTCTAGATCATATCTCAATTCATGGTCTGGTCTAATCAACAAAGGATCTCATCTAATTGTGTGAGATCTTATCCTATTGTGGATCTGAAAATTTTCAATTCTAATTTGAAAGATGTAAAATATAAGAAAGGCACTATAAGTACGTGCCAAAAGTTTTCGGGCCTTTACAGACACACGCGAGCAGGAGTGGGTGAGTATTTTTGGGTTAATTTTTAATAAGGTGGATCCGATCACATGCGAGTAGTCTGTATGTTTTCCATGAAATATGGTTATGTACATATAGCTTTAATCAAAATCTAACCAAGTCTAAAAAGTCTTAGTTTCTTCAATACCAGATGTGATAATTAGTCCTTACATTTTTCTCTTCTTTAACCTTCCATAACATTTTACTGGTCAGAGACTATTGAAGATAAGCCCCTGTAAATTTTGTTTAAAATTAAACTTTTAGTTGATTTTGATAAAATTTCGATGAAATGAGTAGTTGAATAATTGAAAAAAAAAATAGTAAATCCCATAAAATGAGTGATTAAAAATGAATTTGAAGAACAAATAAATGTTAAAACAAGGCTAGGCGCCTCTTTGGCTCTACTATTTGCAAAATTAAAATTTATTTTTTACCATTAGTGAATTCCACGTCTGTCTTGTAGTGTGAAGGAAGTCAACAATTAGAGCTACTGACAATCCAACAATTCATTAAGGGTCTGTTTGATTGTAAAGATGGAATTGAATTGAATTGAAAACGAATTCTAGGGAATTGAATTGCCTAGAAATTGTTTTCCTAAGAATTGTAAATTATTGTGTTTGATTAGTATAATTTTCCACGTGAAAGATGTTAAAATAAAAGTATTTTTTGGTACTCGTTTGACTTTATTTTTTTCATGAAAATTGTCAATTAAATGGATAGATTTTATTGGTATTAGGAATGAATTTTGTTTCCATTGTCAATAAAAAAAATCAAGAAAATTATCTATCTTTTGGTGTTCATTTGGCTTTATCTTAAATGAAAATTGCCATAAAAAGTGAAGACTTGCCCCTCCCCTCCAAGGAGCCTTTAGAGAAGCCATTACTGATTTCATGTTCAACGGTTTCTCGATCCCTAAGGGATGGAAGGTAAAAAAAAAAAAAAAACAACAAACAAATGTGAACAGTAGGTTGGAAAACCAATTTCCACTATATTGGTGGAAATTGATTTTCCTTAAAAATCAAGAAAATACAATTTCCCAAGACAAGTAAAAAAATGGAATTCAATGAAAATTAAATCGTATCAAATAGATAAAATTGGAAGAAGTGGAATTCGACCAATCAAACATGCTCTAACATTTGAATGAAAAGTAGCATCAAACATGCTCTAAATATTGACACGAGCCTAAATCGCAATCATTCTCCTACATCTTAAAGTCGCATTCAAACTACATCATTTGTCATAATTTGTGGGAAGAAGACAAGAAGCAATTTTAAAAGCACGAAACCCCATAACTCGAGATGTGACAAAAGATCATTCCCAAAAAAAGAAGTTCCTGATAATCTTGGTGCCAACTCTACAGCCGAATCAAATTCAACACCCTTCATCGTTATAGAGATGGAAAAAAAAACCCGCCAATCTTGACTGGGGCCAAAACCCCCCCCCCCCAATGGGTGGAGGGATGCCCCGTCCCATAAAGAAGTTAAAAAAAGGGAAAAAAAATGTTAATTTAAGCATTATTTGTTATGAATTTTAAAATTTTGAATTTATATTTTATTCTCTAATAATAGTATAATTCGAAATTTTGAAAATGTAAAACAAAAACAAAAGAAAAGAAAAGGACAACAACGGGACAAGTCACTGCCCACTGCCCATCCCACTGCCATCTCTATTCATCAGCAAGTCAGCATGTTTATTTGGATAATTCAAAAATGAAAAAAAAAATATTAGAGGTATATCAAATTTCTAATTAATAACTATTCAAAACCAATATTAATATCACCTTATGATGCTACATTTGTATCTATCACGTTATCAAAAAAGGAAAAATAATCTACCAAAAAATCATAATAAAAAACACATTAGTGTTGTGTGCATTGATTCACTTGGTTGTGTGCATTCTTGTAAACTCTAGTTGCACTAATTTTTATGTGTTTGGTACAGCTTTTTGAGGGTCTAAAAGCACTTCTATTTAAAAATTTAAATGTCTAACTTAATTAAAGAATTGCTTAGCTTCTACGAAAGAAGGCTACCCTTGACAGGCGCCCCTCCAATAGGGGGTGTCATGCCCTCAGCCTTGTCCCCAAGTCGGGACAGAAGGTTTTATCCTATACGAAAAGTTTTATTTTGAAGGGTTATAACTCTTTTAATATTTTAAAATTGACAATGTTATTCTCATTATGGTAAAATGTATATATATTTATATAATTTTGATTTTCTAGACATCATGCTTAGTAAGCAATTAATTTTTTAGAATAAAAAAGTGATAATTATGGACCGGAAAATCGAAGGCAAAATACCCTAACATTTCTTACTTTTACCATCGACTGAAGTCTCTCTCTCCCTTCCTTTTTTTTTTTTTTTTTCTTTGGTGGGGGCTAAAGTCAGATTGTTGGAAAGACCTTGAACTTACTTTTACTAGGGAATTTGTTTTTGGGCATGTGGGATTTCCACAATTTTGTTCAAAACTTTGTCAGACGCTGGAGGAGCAGAGCGAAGTTGGCAGTTTTGTCTCTACGAGGTCCGTTGCAACAAAATTTGTACCATTTCGTAACCATTACACCAAATGAACAGTGTTTAATCATTTTCTTCCCCTTTTTTTGTTCTTAGTAATTTATTTATTTGAAATATTAGTTATTTAATTATTTTATAAATACATAAATTACTAAATAAATAATTACATTAAATTATGAAAAATATTAAATTCATCAATAAATATAAAAAAAATAGTACAATTAATAAAAATACTGCAACAACGGAAATATTAAATCATGTCATTAAAAAAATAGTACAATACATTTCGAATTTGGATATTATGATATAATGAAGTCGCAAAATTTTTGCAATTTAATTCTCGAAATTCTTATGTTCTTCCCACAAATGATCGATTAATACATTTTGAAGTGGAATGTGAGTCTCTTTATCCTTGATTTGTCTATGACAAGCAATGAATTTTTGCAATTTAAACTATGTACTTTTTTAATATATCGTTTTCTTTAAATAAAATTAGAATATCGTATGTATGTTGTCATTTAATATATAACGTGTTAACTTTAAGAAATAATCATGTGTTGTTATATTTTAAATTTTGATTAATTCATTAATTATCATTTTTTTACATTTAAAATTTATTTTAAATGCAAATAATAATAATAATAATAATAATAATTTATTGTATTAAAAATATATATAGGACAAATGACACAGATACCCTTAAGACTCGTTTGGCCCCCATTTTGTAGAAATGAAAATAGATGAAATAGTATTTTTTTTGAAAAATTAGTTGTTGAAAAAGAATGAAAAGTTTTTAATTTACGTGTAATATTATTTTATGGATGATTGTGTTGTTGAAAATAGGAGGGAAAAACATGAAATGTAATGTAATGAAAAATAATAGAGGCCAAACGGGGGCTTAATCAATTTATTTGGGAAAGGAAAACAAGGGTAAAAATGACATTATACACTTTGCAAATATGGTACAACATTATTCACTTTGTGTGCAAAGTTTGGTGTCACATTGGAGGAAACTTGCACCAAAATTTGGTGCATTTTGGTGAAATGGTGTATACATTGGAGATACCCTATGAGTTGTGAGTTTGTGAGTTAAACCCTAGAAAAAGCTTAGAATTCTAAGGAGAGTTAAGGTTATGGAGCTTCCACAGTGAAGAACAACTCAGCAGGTTTTCATGGATTCCAAGTTTTGGGTCATTGCAAGAAGAAGCAATGCCTGTAGCATCCTCATCTACTTTTCTTCCATGTAATGACAATGTAATCGAAAGTAGAAACACAGAGGTTCACTGAGCTCCCCTATTTGTACGGGGCGAGAAGAATTATATAGTCTTTATAGCCACTTCTTTGTTTCAAGAAAACAAATGCACAACACAAAGGGACATGAACATAATTATAATTTTAAAAGACTTGCCCCCTTTCGATATTGAATTAAATTTGATTTTAATCAAGTCAAAGTTAAACAATCAATATTAATCACATATTTTATGGGTCCCACAAATTTTTAACCACATATTTTAAAAATTACAATCAAAACTTTAATTTTAATTCTCATGAAATAGAAATTAATTTAATTTAATTTAATTGAAATAGAAATTAATTTAATTTTTAACCACATATTTTAATTTTTTTGGCCTACAATCTCTCGATTGAGCTCACCTCTTTATTGGCTTACATGGTGGTTATGACGAAGATTACTCTGCTCGTCCAGGGCCAGGTGGGGGACCCTGTTGATGGCCTAATTTTTCCTTTATCCAAAAGTACCATACCAGCCCATGTTCAAATCAACTATACCTTAAGGTCAGAATAAATGCTTCTACTCCATTTTGCTTCCATGACTTAAAAGTGATCATCTTCCCTTTTGCCCATAATTAAAGCGATAATATGCAAGCTTTAATAAAATTTTGAATGGACTCCATGGATCAACATATATTAAAAAAAAAAATTAAAAAAAAAAAATGTCACAAAAAATTGAATGGGAACCCAAATGCGATTTCATCTAAAGATGAGAAAAGAATTAATGTCATTCAGTGTCGATGTCGTAGAAGGCATGTAACAAAATATTCAAGATAATATTTATAATAGTTCGTGAATATCAGAAATGTTCAAAAATATAAAGCAATAAACATGATACGAGCTTATAATTAATAGATAAACAAAATATATAAATAGACAAATCTTTTGCAAACACTAAAACAAATGGAACAAGGCACGGTTTATGGTATATATGATGAAAATGTACATCAAGAGGGAGTGGAGAGCACCAAAGTCAACCTATTACGGTCAATGGCAAAATTTTGAAATGTGGGTCCCAAATCCTATTGGATTATAAGGTTGTACAGCGCAAGCCCCTCACCTATAGGGGAGTGCCACTTGGCGCCCTGGTAGTACAGGGCTACACGTACCACGATCCAATCCTGTTCCACAAGTTCTACTTCGCATGAAAAATGATATTTATGTTTCAACCGGGAAATATTAACCGTCTAAACCGGAGAATGAACCGAGACCCGGCTTTCATCTGTGGTCTTAGGTTCCAGACACTTGAAGGACGGCATTTTTACAGGCGTCCTACCTCCTTTTGATGACCCTTCGCCGTTTTCTGCCACCATCCGAGGTGATTTCATTGATGACGCTCTTGAGAAAACTGGCCGTGCCATATTGAAACTCCACCGGTTCGACCTTTCAAACCATCTTGCAGCTCTACGGCTTCCTTCTCCTCCACCGGTTCTATAACCCCTTCTTGAACTCCCTTCATCCACAGGTAACCTGGTCGCACAGCTTTTGGTCCGATTTAGCATTGCCCGGTCCAGCACCTCCTTCCTAACTTCTTCTGGTAATCTCAAAGTGAATCGGTCAAGATTGTCCTCCGGTAGAACTAATGAATGTCCGGTAGAGTGCGACCTGAACCTACCGAAATTGAACGTCCTTAGTCTTTTTATAGATAAGGACCTCGGCGGCCGGTTCGGGAACTCCAAGCTCGAGTTCCGGTTCACGTCCGGCTGATTTTCTCCGGATTCGGTTACTTGTATGACTATTTCTTCATTTCTGAAACTGTCGGTTCTTTGACTTCTTCCAATATTTTCATTTCTTTCACGGAAACTGTTTGTCAACTCTGGCGAGTCTGCCGGTTCATCACCGGGAACCAAATTCGCTCTACAAACCGGGCAGGTAGAGTGAGACGCGAGCCAAGCATCGATACATTCCGGGTGAAAAACATGATCACATTTGGGTATCAAACGCAGCGTTTCATCATCTTCAAATTCATTCAAACACACTGCACACTCCAGCGATCCTTTTCCAATCTTGTGATCTTTAACTTCGGAGTATAAGAAAGTGGGGAAATTTTCTATAACCGAAGGGTCGAGGCCTACCTGGCCGCCACCACGGCGGCGCATCGAGAGGGCTTGACGGACGCTGCCGGAGCCGCTGGACCAGTGGCGGATGTAGATAGAGCAGAAACCAATGAAAAAAAACGCCGCTAAAAGGACGACTATGATTATGGCCATGGCTGGGGTGAACCTTGTTGCATAGCTGTTGTAGTTCCCCGAGTCAGATCCCGGTGAGGCCGACTGAGCTCCGGCCATACTGCTTCCATAAGACAGTACAAGGAAGAGGAGAGAGAAAAAAACATACCCGTGCTTCATGGTTTTTGGATCAACAAGCAAAATCATCAATATTCTTAATTAATTATTGTTATTCTTTTTCTTTTCCCCTTTAACGGAGACTAGGGGATGCAGTTTTGGGTGAGTTTAGATTCGAGTAAGCAAATGTATGAAGACATATAGAGAGGGGATGGAGACGAGAGAGGACCGAGAAGGTGCCGTGATGTTCACGTCAAGAGAAAAATCAACGGGAAGTCTGACTTTTCTTGCAAGCATATGTTTGGCCAATTTGTGCAAGCTTAAAATTCACTGCTTGTTTGCTATTATTTTCAAGAACTTATAAGCCGTGATGCCACTAAACATGTAGATATGGGTGTGTTTGAGCCCCTAAACGTAGAAAATTGTAGGTCCCAGACAGTAGATCGATAAAAAAAAAATAAAAAATAATAATAAGTTTGATCAATTAAAATTAAAATTTTGAATATTGCCATTGATTTCGAACATAATATACATTTTTATCTAGAGTAGTTTGGAGCGAACTTGATTAGACAAACTAACTGGTCCAATTCACTTATATCTAAAATTTAATTATTTCTAATTTTTAGAATAAAAAACTAAGATATTTTTGTTCAATTTTCAATGCTAACTACAGATTGAATTTTAATTCGATTGTACAATTAATTTGTCTAATCTTTTAATATTAATGATAATATTAAAATGTATCGAGAATAATCAATATTTTTGTATGAAACAAAAAGTATAAGAGAAATAATAATTTTACACAACAGTTTATTTTTACACTTTTTTTTCTAAAATATATATTGCATTGGACCAGATCGAACCATTTCATTAATAGACAATTTCAGTTCACTGCAAATAGAACCATTTATATTCATATGTAGTTCTAATCGTATCCGCTTTGGTACTATTTTGATTGAAATCATACAAATTTAGATCATGCTCATCCGAATTTTAAGTTGAGATAAATTTCAAAAGCTACTTTTATTTAAAAAAAAAAAAAAAAAAATTTTCCTGGTAACTTTGTCCCGTGGTAAGAAATATTACTTGTGCACTTGTTTGTTGACTTGTGTATAAGTAATTTTTTAAACACAACCAAACAAATGCTTGGTTTGGTTCCAGAAGGATCATGGAAGTTTCCACTACATTTCTCTTTTGACGTGAGGCATTTGGTCTCCAGAAGGTTGGCCACTGGGCATATGGGATTCCACGTTCTTGAATATACTCAATACTTCCTATTTTTCAAAAAAATTAAATAAATTTTCTTAATTAGAAGTTTGGAAAAAATTGATTGAACGACTTTTACACCATATAAGAATTGAATTGAATTATACTGTTCGACAAGAAAAAATAGATAATCCGTTCAAAATCCAATCCTGAACGACCCTATAGCTACATTTTCCTATCTTCTTCTAGTTTTTTTTATTTTTAGCTGGTACCTAAATTGATTTTCAATATTATTGGTTACTATTTTATGATTAACTGCGATTTAATTTTTGTATACACAATAAGGTTTCATAGAAAGTTCACAGAAGTCTCACGTTGGAGGTGTGTCCCACATGAATATTTTATTGTAAAAAAAATCACCCCAATTCCACCCCACCTCTTGCTAAGTGTTATCTGTCAGCCTTCTGTAAATGCTTTATCTGTACATATAGTTCTCTCTAACGGCTAATCGTCAATTGTGACAAACAATTAACGTAGGATATTGCTGACCTCATAATTCAGATAAATGGTGTCATTTTTGTTTGGTTTCATTTGGAACTTTCTGAATTCTTGGGTAGATAGTGACATATTTTGGTATACCCAAGGGGGCTGCTGCATTGGAAATTTAAGCCCCGTTTGACATTCATTATTTGTCGTTAAATTATAATTCATTTTCCTCTTTTTATATCAATCACACATTTTTCAATACAATAATATTATATGTAAATTCAAAATTTTTTATTCTTTTTTAATACACATTCGTCAAAATTTCATTATTCCTCTCATTATAATGTGGAATAATGGGGCAAACAAAAAAAGTAAGTTTTTTATTGTTAAAATAAATACCTTATTAATTATCATGCATAAGCATAAGAATTGTAACATTATTTGCTTTTGCCTTTTAGAATCTTATTAATTTGTCAAACACGTCGATATAATTTTCTCGACAAAAATATGCAAAAGTCTCAAATTGTTACTTTATATTATTTAAGCGGGCTCCAACGAAATTCGTATAAGCAAAAGTCGAATTTGAACGGCTGACATTTGTTGGAATATATTAGCGTTCAAAATAAACAACTTGTATAATTTCTTGGTCCAAATTGGGTCGTCAATTCAATTATTTCAACATGCTTATATTATTCTATAAACGAGTAGTTATTTTCACAACATCCTTTCAGCCTATTAGATTAGCCTTATAATACTATATATCATTGATTTTAATTGATTTTGGGACTTTCGAATCTCAATTGCCACCAATAAAAAAGGACTTGTCTAAGGCCTACAAGCTCATATTTACACACATTCAAATCATCATTTAACTATATGTCTCGTAGGATTACAAATATTGTTCATTTATTCATCATTCATTTATATGTACTTATAATTTAAAAGCTTAACCGAACAAGTACTTAGTGCACGTTCGATGAAGTTTAAAAGGGTGTATTCAATTGAAACTTTAATGATTTTTTGGGATTTAAAAAGTTAAGGGATATTTAATGTAGATTTTTTGAGACTCTCTAAAAAATTATTGGTGTATTCAATTGAAATTTTTATAGACTTTTAACAAATCTCCAAAAATCATGTTGTATTCAATTAAAACCTTTTAAAGGTATCTATAAATCTCAAGGTATTCAAATTTTAATGATTTCTAGAGACTTTTAGAAAATCTACAAAATTTATGATGTATTCAATTAAAACCTTTTAAAGACATCTATAAATCTCGGGATATTCAAATTTTAATGATTTCTAGTTACTTTTAAAAAATCTCCAAAAATCATGATGTATTCAATTAAAACCTTTTAAAGGTAAATTTCGGGGTATTCAAATTCTAATGACTTCTAGATACTAACTTTTAAACAAAAAGTACTCATATAAAATCTCAAAATTTGCCTTTCATTAATCACAAGATTTTGAAAAACTCTCCCAATAATAATAATAATATGTATTTTCTTCAATACTCCTTTTGTCCTAATTATATAAACTGTGTTTTCTTTTTCTCTTATCCCAAATATATAAGTCTATTACCTAATTTAGAATATTTTGTTTTGTTACTTTACCAATATATTCTTATTCAAATTTTCCTTACTTAATATGCCAGCTTCTTGAAATCATCCAAATACACACATTTCTCACTTCTTTAAAACATAGAATAACTCTCATTTCTTCTTCTTCAAATTAAATCATTCAAATTTTTTACTAATTTCAACAATAATTTACTGTTACATACTGAAAATAAAATAGGGGCAAATTAGGAAAGATTTTGGCAAGAATCAATTTTCTAATGGCAGCCAAATTGAAACTTTATGTGACATTGATTATAATAAATAGTCAGTCATGCCTATGTAAAACTATCCCCCAAAACAAAAAAGTTAAGTACCTGTGCTGATGAGTGAAAATTTGCACAATCTTATTACAAATTCATAAAAAAAAATAAAAATTGAAAATACGTGAAAATTATGTTATTTAAGTTTCTATGGAAAAAAAAATTTTGATCATGCGTTGCCACCATAGCCCTACAAGTTGGCTTGCTCAATGAACCAGTTGTGGATTGTTTTGCTCAAATCATTTTATCCTTTGGGTCAATTTATATTTTATAGAGATGATATTGGTCATGATGCGGTATCAATGGATGCAAGTCTAATTATATTGAGTCGCCCGTAGCAATGCGATGGGCATGTAATGCATGATGGGAAAACCAACACATAAAGTAGGATGAATTATAAAAGTGAAGTGAGAATTGCATATGACTTATGCACGGGTCAGTACTATGATCTTTAGAACTGGTTCAATTTCGATTTATCAATTAGAATTGTTATTAGAATATTTGATGACACTTAGTTGGCCATTAGCCACACTAGTGGCTCACTTGTCACTTGCCACAAATGTAGTTAAATATTAACTACACAATTGCCCTTTTTCTAGCCACAAATGGGTAAAGTGAATTAGGGACATCCTCTTTTGTTGCCACAAATGTCTCACTTTGCCCTGTCCAAAAGCCACATAACAATGGCATGTATATATAGATGTTTCCATCTTCTTATAAATAATCCCTTAACACCAAGAAACCAAATTTGATTTTTCCTTTCACATAATTAATTCTCTTTTGCTGCTTATTATCACAACAAAATGAGTCAAGAACAACCCAAGAAGCCTGAATCTCAGCAAGAACCTCATCAAGGCAATGCTGCAGCAAAAATGCAATCTGCCGAAAATCGCATGTTCAGACAAGTACAGAAAGGAGGTCCAGCAACCGCACTGCATTCAGCGGGTGGCAGTGATACGGGCAGCAACATTGTTGCTGATGAAGGTGTAGTAATCACTGAGACTAATGTGCCCGGCAAGCGGATAATCTCTGAAGCAATTGGTGGACAGGTTTTTTCTCGTGCATATTATTAATTTTTTCTTAGTTTGGTGAGTATTAAAATTAGATTTTTAAATAATCTCGATAAAAATTAATGAAATGTGCAATTAAAATATTGTGAATCCCATGAAATATGTAATAAAAATTAATTTTTAATTTTGATTTAGATTAAAATTAGATTTTAATCCCTACCAAATAGGGCAAGACAAATAAGAGTTGCGGCCGTGTTAGGCCCATCTTGCTTCTAGGTAAAAATTCATATTCAAGGAATCAAGGCCATTATAACACACAATTTCAAAATTAAGAAAATTATTTTAAAATTTCAAAATTCAGGTCTTAATTAGGATTTATTAATCAAAAAATATTTTTATTAAGATTACAGTAATATAAAATTTATGGTCATAATTACGTACTAGTTGTAATTATAGACTTTACAGTTACAAATCACAAATTTTTAATTAGATTTTAATCCCCACGAAATAGGGGGCTAACTTTGTTCGTCTAACAAAATGTAACGACAATGAAAAATCTAAATCGAATCAAAATATGGATTTACTAAAACAAATTGCCTCAAAAATCGGTCCTCAAATCGCCTTGTAACGAGTCTATATGGAATCGGAATTGCTAGTAATTGTTGGTTAGCCATTCGATCAGTACACACGATGTTTCATTTGTTAATATATATGTTTCTGCATATGTACTAAATGATGTGGTTTAATGTTACCCTATTGCAAGGTTATTGGGCAAGACATTCAACCAGCCCCACTTGCCCCAGAATCTGTGTATGAACGAAGAGGCAACATCACAATTGGTGAAGCACTTGAAGCTACAGCATTAACAGCAGGACACAAGCCTGTCGACTATAGTGATGCAGCCGCAATTCAAGCTGCCGAAGTGAGGGCCACTGGCCGTGCCAACATAGTACCGGGTGGCATTGCTGCTGCTGCACAATCTGCAGCAACTCGCAATGCTCGCATGACAAGAGACGAGGATAAAACCAAACTGGGTGACATTCTTACGGTGACTCTCTCTCTAGCAATGCTATATATTAGTTATTAGTTTTATCTATCCACTCGAACATGCATTTGATGAACTATCTCATCAAAAAGATTAAGTTGTTGGAGGCCTGACACACGCACAAATTTTCATAAATTGATGATGGCAATTTTTGGACCTAGATCCTTTACTTGTTATAATATTATTAGGGGCGAAGTCAGAAAGATTTGTTATGGTGAACTAAAGTTCAAATTTTTGTCAATAGATTCATAATTTCACATACCAATTTGCTTATGGGCTGGGTCAGAGCTGGGCTATAGCCAAGCCCAACCCCCCTCTCCATTCGCCTCTTAATATTATGTCGAACTATCTCATCTAAAAGTTTTAGTAACCACGGGAGATACATTTACTTAGTTAAATTAACTAGTTTAAGTTTTTAGCTGAGGTGCCATCCTTTACTATTATTGTGCAAAGCATATTTGATATGAAGTATTGGATAGTTCTCAACAATATAAATGAACTAAATTTCAAATTCGTTGTGCTCCTTAAAACTATCCATAGCATGTTTTTGATGCAGAATTTGATAAGACTAAACAATACAATACAATTACAATGAACAGGACTTTAATTTTATTTCTTTCATTTTTTACAGGAAGCAAGCTCAAAGTTACCCTCAGATAAACCAGTGACACGTCGAGTTGCTGAGGGGGTGATAGGCGCTGAGCTGAGAAACGACCCGAATCTGTGCACTCGACCAGGGGGCGTAGCAGCCTCTGTGGCCGCAGCTGCAAGGCTTAACCAGAGTGACATTCCATCTCCCACTCAGCAGGATAAATAATCTCATTTCTGGGTTAATTAGGCTAATCAACACTAAATAACACCAAATTTTTTGGGCAGGCTTGATGGTACACCTTAAATGGTGCCTTTTCAGCATCTATTCAATTCAAGTTATTATTATTTTTCAGATATTGGTTTCGTTTTGTAGGAATTCTACTTTGTATTTATTTTTTCCTCTTTACTTGAGAAACAAAAAGGTGCTTATTTAGTTTTTGATAATGTGTTTTACTTTTATTTTCTTGTTTTTGTACTCGATTTGTTGCTACTTAAGAATTATATAATTTTCAAAACCCAAAACCAAAATAATAATAACAATAATTCTCAAGGAGAATATGAAAAACTAATTTTCTAAGAAAAGAAGTCCTAAAACTGTTTATATGTTCATTCTTAGGCATAGCTATCAAATGTACCCACGTCCGACATGTCCAATTTATTGCTAGTACATACAACCAAACGCATGGTTGTACTCTAACTCATACACGATCGAACATAATCAATTAAGAGATACACAAAATTCAAATTTATAATAATGTTGTTTAGTCGAGTACATCGTACCAAAAATACGAACATGGTCTTCCACAATTAGTCAGGGATAGGATGTAATGATTTCCAATTGCAACTTTCTGAGACCAACAGTAAACTCCAAGGCATCATTCATGGCATCTTTAGCCCCCACCAATGCCTCCTCCAGCTTCTCATTTACCAAATAATAAGAGCAAATTTGGCTAAGAATTTTATCATGTCTTTCTTCATATCTTATTACTCTCTCTTCAGCTTCTTGCAGAGTTTCACATACAATCTTTAATTTCTCTTCTGCTACTTGTCGTTTTTTCCTTCTTCGAAAATCTGGAAAAAGAAAAATGAACGATGCTGAAAACCCCAACAAGGCAAATACAATGGGCTTGAAATCCATTGGAGAAATTCTCTGATAATCTGAAACAAGAATGAAGGAAATTAATAAAAAAATATTGATTAATATTCCTTGCTTTGTTATGAGGAAAAACTTGCTTGTATGGCTGCTTTACATTTTTTTTGCATTACTTTTTGACATCCCCATTCCCTCATGTGCTATACACGAATAAATGGGATATCGATGCAAGGTAACCTTTCATAAAATCACAAATTAGATTAAATTTTTTTTAGTTATTCAATATTCTTGCGAAAAATTAATGGATATTAATATTTGTCATCTTTAATTTCTCTCTTCACATTGCGTCACATATTTATACGTCATTTTAATTTTGTATTGTTTCTATAAATTCATAATGCTCAAATTTTTGCTTAAATAATCGAAAATGTTATTGGATTTGCAAAATGGAAAATGGGAATTTGTTCAACACATCTTGGTCCAAGAATGTGTGTCCTACTTGAACCTGCAACGTTTGGTATCTATTTATTATTTAACGTCCCTGACTGGCATAAGGTAGCAATAGAGAATTGTCTAATGATGCAATTTTTATTTCAGGCTTATGAGTTGTGACGATGGAATTCTCAAGGGTGTGATTCCATAATTTTCGTTAAAATTCTACTTTTCAGATTAGCAATAGCTTGCCCTAACTTGTTATTGAATATGTTAGAAATGTTTGAAACCTTGTCATCTTATATAATGGTGGTCTGATCGGCTTATATAATTGGTTATTATATGATTAACTATTGTATAGGCGCGCATAGTAACTTTATTGAAAACTCTAATTGTGAAATAATTGAGATATTTCGTACTTTCTTTTAGGTTAATCATTGGGCATTAGGTTGTATAATATATCGTTGAAATAATATATTAGTTTATTGTTTTAATGTTAAATTTTAAGTTAGCAATATAATGCAAGATATACCGTTGAATTTTACATTTATGTTAATTTTGTGGGGAGGAGCCCAATTTATGGACATCATCTCGAGCCCCAAAGATCACAGGACCAGCCTTGGTAATTAACACAAAACGTCCATACATTTCAATATTATTTACCTTTCAATTTTTGGTATTTTCGCCTATCATTGCAGAAAATGTCATTTTCTCAATAAAAAAAAATATAAAATGTCAAATATACCCTCCTATTTAAAAAAAAGAAAAATTAAAAAATAAATTGTAATTTTACTCTCAAACTTTTTAAAAAACAGCAAATGAGTATAAATAAATTATTAAAAGGGTAATTAACACAAAAGATCCTCATCTCTTCCATATTATTATGCAAAATGTCCCTACCATTCATTTTTTTGACATTTTCACCCTTATTTTGTGAAAATCATCATTTTCGTTTATTTTCTCAATTAAAAGCTGTAAAATGACAAATATATTATCATATTTAAATAAAAAAATGAAGAACAATTTGCAACTATACTCCCAAAATTTTCAAAAAAAGTATAAATAAATTTCAAATAAATAATTAAAAAAAGAAACTGATTTTTATTCTTTTAATTATTTATTTAAAATTTATTCGTGCTTTTTCGAAAAATTTGGGAGTATAGTTTTAATTTGTTTTTTTTTTCCTTTTCTTTATTGTTGTTTTATTTAACTATGAGATAATATTTATTATTTTACAGTTTTTAATTGAGAAAATGAATAAAAATTATGATTTTCGCAATGAAATGTGAAAATCCCAAAAAAATGAAATATGTGGACGTTTTGCACAATAATATTGAAATGCATGGATGTTTTGTGTTAATTACCCTTTTAATAATTTATTTGGACTCGTTTGTAATTTTTCAAAAAGTTTTGGAGTATAATTGCAATTTGCTCTTTAATTTTTCTTCCATTTTACATTTTCTTTTTATTAAAAAAATGACATTTTCTGTAATGAAATGTGAAAATGCCAAAAAAAATGAAATGTAAATACTTTTTTCACAATAATTTTGAAAGGTAAGAACGTTTTGTACTAATTACCCTTTTATTGAACATTGTTGAGATATATATAGCCTCTGTAAGTATAACATTAAAAGTCACTTTTTTTTATAAAGTCAAAGTCAAATATTAATTTTAACTACACATTTCCAAGACCCTATTTTATTCTTATTAAAAAGTTAGTAATAATTTTCTCCGAATATTCAAAATTTGTTAGAAATATTGATTTGAAGGAATATTTTTACTTCTAGGAAGTAAGATATCTTTTGGCCAATCCACATTCTCTTGGTTATCAGAGGCATTTTTCAAAGTAGTACTTGCCTGATGAGTATTGAGTACAGCAGAGAATGAATGCCACTCTCTCTCTCTCTCCGAATAATAATCAGAGGCATGTTTCAGTTTAGTCACGGAACTTCCAGTTAATTTTTATGGAGAAGTTACTTAAATACATGTCCGATTGTAACTGATATCTTATACAACTGCTACGTGACACTCTAGAAATGAAAATGATAAAATTGGAGTAATGTTAATATATTTATATTAAAAGGTTAAAAGATGTGGATTTTGATTTAACGTTTTGATATATGATGGTGTAGTATAAAATTAGCATGCCATGAGTGATACATAGAAGATTCATTGAGGTATGATTAATAATTAATTTTCATCAATTTTGGGAGGCAACATGTGATGGAGTAGTAGGGATGTTGATGAATCAAGTCGAGCCAAGCCGAACCTTGATCCACCAAACGACTTGGCTCGTGCTCACTTGGGGGCAAACCTAGCACGAGCGTCTAGAGAATTTCAAGCTCAGCTTGCTTGGGGTTAAGTCGAATCGGTTCGTCCAATTAATTAATCCATTTCTTAAATCAATATCTCGCTCTCATTTAGCCCGTTTGACAACTATTATTTGGAAAAATAATCTTTTGAATAGTGATTTTCGGGAAAATATGTGGTTACAAAGTAGAGAAAAGTTTCAAATTTATATGCAGATATTTTATTGTGTGAACGTGTTGATGAAAATGAGTACGTAATAAAAAAAGTTTTCAAAAAATGATTGTTAAATAGGTACTCATTATCACGCCATGTCCTCTATTACATTCTTGAATCACGTTTGGCTCGTACATTTTTAAATCATGCTTGGTGTACACCTTTATTTAAAAAAGAAAAAACTGTTGTTTCATCCAACCACTTTTTGACAACAATACAATTGTCAATAAGAGTGTACAAATTGGGTGTCCAAATGGCAAAGCCCTAAATTCTTTTCTTCCTTAAATTACCTCAAACAGAGTGGCAGGTTCCATCATATCAGTCGCAAAAATCATCATCATATCACATAGGTGGCGAGTCTTTAACAGGCTTGCTAGTTGAGCCAATGAGCTTATCTATACGACAATGCGAGCTAGCGAGCTGCTCGCAATGGAAATTCCTAACTCGGCTCGGCTTGTCTCACAACTTGTCTGAGAGGTGGCCAAGTTGATGAGCGGCGTGCACTCATTGACATCCCCATGGACTGGTGAAAATCAAATCTAAACTGAATACAAATTAAAGTTTAATGACCTAAATTAAATTTTGCTAAAAGTACCGGGACCACACATGAAAGTTACCCTAAGGCTAAAAATGACATTCATCTCGACTCGTCAACTCAATCTTTAATAGAATATGTCAACTTGGATCCAGTTTTTATTTTTTATGCCCGCTACAGCATTAGCGCGACACTGGGATAAATGCATAGAAACACAGCAGAAAACATCCAGAGAAGAAAGAGAGGCAATTGTAGCCTGATACATCCAAATAGCTTTCTGCTCCATGTGCATATTGTTTGTCACACACGAGACCATGATATGATCAACTTGTCTATTTAGCCTGTCCCGACTCCCGAGTAAATCGAATTGAACTCACTTTATGAGGTTATCGACCAAAGTACTTATAAACCCACAACTCAAATTTTAACTTAATATACCAACGTGCAAGATCCTTAAGATATTGATTAATTGTATAGTTTAACTCTCACCAAATTGCTATAGATTTTTATTTATTTTTGTAACTCAGGTCTCCGAGCTTCACCCAACTAATCCTTAAGGAGCAGAACTCAGGTGTCCGAGCTTCACCCAACTAATCCTTGAGGAGTAGTGGCCTTCTCTCCCTGATTAGTCATCCGGGTAAATTCGAATGCAGTCTCAGTTTATATACACTTAGATCGGACATTCGAATTTTTTTACACTATTAGAAGGTCGTGCAAGGCCAACTTCAAAGGCCCAACAGAGATGACATTTCAAGAATTGTTTTTGAAGTTGCCATCAATCATATTCACGTTCAGAATTGAAATTCTCATTAAAAGTTGGGAACAAATTACACAAATTCTATTTAAGTATTGTGAGATTTGAGAAACCATAGACAAACAAGGCCATCTAATCTATCGGAATGAGGCGAGAGGATTAGGACTACGCGTTGCTTTCGAGCTTCTAAGCTCTTTACACACATTATCTAACATGTTTAGAAAATCTCTTACAATTACAAAAATTCGAAGTGGATTCGATTCATCTTTGCTCACATCTCCATGAAAATATTCGGTCATTTGTCGGACGTGTAATAGGACTCCATTCTCATCTTCTTGCAATTCCTTTAACTTCGTTTCACCATAATTCAGAAATGATCGCATTGATTTCACAAAGTTCCCATTTTCATCTTCCATTTTGATGATCTTGTTTACTAGATGCTGCAGTTTACTCATTCCATCTGATAAATTTGCTACAGAACTTGCAAGAACATCCAAGTCTATTGTAGCCATCTTCTTAACATTGTAGAGTTCAGTACTTAAGCCAGATACAAGATCTAAACCCATTCTCCTATAATTTTCTTCTTTATCTTCGATTTTTGAGGTCTTGCTCCTTTGGTTAATCTTGCCCATGATGCTTTCCGATACTCGAAATCCTTCTGATCTGATAATTTCTTGGACGACAAAATGGAGAAGTGTTGTTTTTCCATCTGTTCCCTTCACATCAGCGAGCTTAAGAAGGGTGTCAAGCTTAAAGGCTGTTGCTCCTCCTCGTATTGTTCCAACATTCATCCTGTTACCTGTTTTAAGCACTGCCTCAAGTAGTTTAAGGAAGAGCCGACTTGATCTGAGCTCCTTGCAAGCCTCCTGATAAAATATCAGAGGTGGTAATTCTTAGAAGGTTACACTTTTGATTGTGCAAAATTGTTCGATTGAACTGTTTACCTCAAGCATCGAGAAGGATTTTCTGAGATGGAAAACCTCGTCTTCAAAATTTTCTCGGTAGAGCATCGCTTCAATTCTTAAAAATGCGAATGGTACTTTAAGCATTTGTTTGACTAACTTCTCTGCTGATCCTAATTCATTACTGTCTCCTTTGTAGTTCGCAAGCTTAGCCTCCTCTTCATCAGTAGGCACCATCTTTGTCAGTGCCTCTAAATCTTGCAATGACAATCCATCCCCTATTTGGGAAAAGTCGAAAAACATATAATCAAAGTAGTACTTATTACATAGCTCTATCATTTGTTAGTCAGACAGAATGAAAAGGTTTTTAGTTAATGGATTACAATTGTTCGTGTAACTATTACAAATCGAAGTTGTTTACCTTGAATTAGTGCTGCACATACTTGTTCTGTTGAAACATTCAAGGCTTTTGAAAGTATAGTAATATTTTGTAGTCTCTTAGGCTCCAGGACATGCTTGCTTGGTGATGGGGTTTTACTTTTAACTTCATCATTCTTCATGGTGTTCTGGAGGTTGTAACCGAAAAGTGACTCGATCATGTCCTCATCGAACCTGCGCAAAATGTCATGATCATATACAAATTGTACTAGGAAAAATCATTATCATAATGGAGATAATGTAATATCTTACTCAAACGAGCTTGATCGCATCTTGTCCCATACTGTTGAACGATCTGGTGCAGCTCTGACTTTGTCCCAGTGAAGTGGTTTAAGCTTTGGCAATGGGGCACCGTCTTTGCCCAATGGTGCACGTTGAGTGAGCTGAGATGGGGGAGGAGGTGGGACTTTGAGAGAATTAACATTTCCTTTCGGAAAAGGAGGGGGGCATGGAGGTGGAGGAGGGGGTAACGATAATTCAATATGTGGATTCTTCTTTGATTCTGATGATGATGAGCTCAAAAGGTTCGGTATCCTCTTTGTTGAAAAAGGGATAGACTTAGAAGGATAAATATGTTCGACCGGTGGAGGAGGGGATGACTGGCTCGGGGCCAAGGGAAGTTGAGAAATTTGAATTGGTTTCTCTGTTGTAGTGACTACAGAAAAATGCGATACCTTTGATTCATTTTGGGAGAAATTTTCCAAGTTGTCACTAAGACTACCAGCTGATGCATTAGAAAGTTTAGCATGTGAATCACAAAAAGAATGGAAAGATTCATCATCAGAGGAATTAGCTTCCTCGGGAATAAATTTATCGTAGACTGAATCAACTTCTTCAGTAATTACTTTTTCACCACGTGATGAAGAGTTACAGCTATCAAACTCATACTTATATTCAGAAATTTCACGAGCAGTGGTTATTTCTCCAACAGTTGAATCTCTATCATTCTCGCATTCTTGTTTCACCGGGACTTGATTTGAGTATGTGTCTTGAGTGTCCAAATTCAGTTTCAAGCAAAATGTTTCGGGTTCCAATGCAGTTTCTAAGGAATCAAGGTAAAAAGGGTCAGGGCCTGGATTAGAATTTACCTTTTTCACAGAACTTTGGGCACTCATATACTTTGATTTACTTGTGATTCCTGCCTCAGTGCTAAATACAGATATAGTCTTCTTCGATCTCTTTTTTTGTCTTTCAAAATTCCGACAGCCCCAGTAGATTCCAATGGCACATAATACTAGAGAGGTAACTCCAACTGAAACAAGAATTGCTGTCCAAACTCTCATAGAAGTACCCTTATCACCATTTTGAATCTTGCGCGTAGAAGGCATCGGACGATGATAGTGATGCGAGGGAGGACGAGGATGTCCATGCGGATGCAGCACCGGAGTAGGAGCCGGAGCATCAGTTCCAATGTTGAGTTCCCCGCAAGGTCCCGGGGCCGGTTCTGGTGTCGGTGAGTAAGCATTTGGTGGTCTTTTTATGTGGAAGCTCTTAAGTCCCAACAAAACTCTTAATTTCTCCAAAATCAAGGTCTTTCGATCTTCATCTCGATACCCTCCTGCATTGAATGAGGCTTTTACGACCAAAAAATTGTGGGTACAGTGATATGATGTGAGAATGAAAATGAAGATAAAAATCATGTGGAGAATCTGAAAACCATGACCCATGTTCTTGAACAATAAGAAAATTTTCACGACTTTTGTCCTATAAATCTTCTCATTTCTACTGCTTAAAATGTAGTACAAGATTGGTTTTGGATGTTGAAAAACATGGTATAGCAGAAGAGAAGATGCAATGTAGTAGTGTCTTTAATGCTACTCCAATTTCAAATAAATAATTAAAAGCAAAAAAAAATTTATTTGTACTTTTTTGAAAAAATAATTGAGAGTATAGTTGCAATTTGTTATTTTTTAATTTAAATAGGAGAGTATATTCATCATTTTACAACTTTTAATTAAGAAAATAGATAAAAAAAATGATGATTTTCGCAATGTAATGTGAAAATAAAGTGAAAATGTCAAAACATAAAATGTATAAATGTTTTGCACAATAATATGAAAAGGTAGGGACGTTTTGTGCAAACTACCCTTTTGATAATTTATTTGGACTCGTTTGCAGTTTTTTAAAAGTTTGGGAGTATAATTGCAATTTATTCTTTAATTTTATTTTTTTTGTTTTATTTAAATAGAAGCATATATTTGTCATGTTACTGGATAAGAAAAATACAATTGTTGTAATGGAAAGTCAAATTAGGTGTGAAATGGACATTTTGCTCAATAATATTGAAAGATAAGGATGCTTAGCATTAATTACCATAACATAGAATATATGAAGAAATATCAAAATATTCAAGTTAGTGTTTAGAAAAATGCAAATCAAAGTGGTGTTATGGAGAGTAGGGCTGGACATTGTCCGACTCGGTTCAAGGCCCAAAATTTTTGAGTATTTAATAAGTCGACCGTTAGGTGCAAATTTAATTATAGAACCGTTCAAGTTCGATTCCATTTGAGTCCTCGGTTCAGTACTAAAATTAATTTTTTTTAATATTTACAAAATTATATTAATTCAACTAATGATATGTTCAATTTAGCTCTTGCAAAATAAAGTAGTCCAATTTTATGTATTTTTTGCGTATCTTTTGTTGAATTCTTTATATATTTAATTGTTAAAATCATAGAAAGTGGAAGATAAAATGCATGAAATAAGTAAGAAAGATGTTATCAAATTTCAATTCAATTTCTTCAAAACAACATAAACAGCACCCCGGTTCGAGAGTTTTATTTAGTTCTAATGGAGGTTTGATAACCAAAAGTCCCAATAAACAAAATGATGTCCAGACAACCGCCAATAATGTACAGAAGTTGCAAAAATCACTAAGAACCATACGGATTTGTCCAACAGAAACCTAGATTTAGGGTTTGTTTTTAGATCCAAAAGAATAAACTTAATTTTTCTCCACCAAGGTTCGATTAATCACCAAATGCAGCCACTAGAAGCTCTGATATACAAAAAAACTCGAAGGTTCAGGACAAAATATTTAAGATTGATTTACAGAAGTTACAACTTCTTATTAGAGAAATGCTTGTTGGAAAAATAATTAGTTGCAGCAGTGATCAGAACAATATAATGCAGAAATATAAAACTTATCGATCGAGTCTCGTGACAGCACGATGTCCTAAAGTGAAATTGCCCGTCAATAATTGCTGTGACCTCCGTGGACAATCACTCCCAGGATACAACGATCGTAAACCACTTATGCAGCAATCACGAATGATTTTTCTAGAACTCTCAATTGTACTCCAGAATAGGTATAAAAACCCGAATATAAGAAATTCACAATATGAAAAGAGTGATTGATTCTATTTTCTTTTTGTGTGTCTTTTCCCAAAACAAGATATGGGTTTATATAGGCAAGATGGTAGTAACAGTCTTCACCATGTTATTGCAGAATTTTAATGACTGAGTAGTTGGTGTTTTAATGGCAGTTAGTGGGTTGTTACAAAAACAAACAGTCATAAAATACTGGCTAGTTTTACCCATTAAATAATGAAGAAAAAAATATTTATTCTAGTCAAGGAAGCCCAAGGCCCCAAGGCCCAAATCAAGACGTTTTAATATTTACGTGGGGAGTGATTCGAACCCCTGACGTCCCACACAAATGTCACATTTCCCACCACTTTGGCACTTTATCTAATTTGATTATTTCTTTCATATTTTATATTTATACCATAAATATATAACAATGCTAGCTGTACAGGCCTGTGTTCACAGGACCTGTACAGGCTAGACACATTATAAGGGGGATGGGTAATTTTTTTTTTTTTTTAAATAATCCCCCACTCCCACCCCCACCTCCTCACACAACATGTGAGGGGGCCTGTGCATTAGGCATTTTTCTTCTTATTAATAAGGCATCAAAGGTCTCGTAGAACATAGGCTCAGGATATTGTACCATTCTATTTCAACATAGAAACTTCAGAAAATCTGAACCCTCCAAACATACCAGTTGAAGTTACATCTATGGACCAAAAGAACCCAAACCTCCATCTAACTGTCACTCTTTTAACTACAGAATTACTTAGACTCTTAATCTCAACAAAGTAATCTCATATTCATCCGACCAGAGTTTGACGATGAAGAGAATACGAAGAAGAACTCTCAGAGAGCGAATTCTAGAAGATGGGCAGAAAAATAGAATGAAAAAATGTCCTTACCGTTTCAGTATAAGGCATTATTTACACCCCTTAATGACCAACATTGATCTCATATTAATATCAACGGTCAGGGACGGACCCACATGGGGTCATGTGGGGTCAAATGACCCCACAGAAAATTTTCCCTTTTCCTTCAGTCAAGTCAAGCTCACCCTTTTTATCTTGATCTTAGCTCCGGCAAATAGGAATCATGGCCCAGGAGCCTTGACTACAACCAGATTTAACTTTTCAAGGCATTGGGTGATGTGGCTTTTGCTATGTTGGACACAATGTCGTGCTAGAAATTCAGGCAGCAATTCCTTCTGGCGGCAACTATTTCAACTCCTAAGTCTTGAGAAACCTTCAAAACGGCTTATGTGGAAAGGAGTAATATTTGAAGATACAGCACGGAACTTAAAGAAACTTCCAGAGAAAAATATAAAATGCAGCCCATTTCTTGAACCTTCTTCTTCAAGCAGTTGGGAACAATCCAGAAAAGGACTAACTCAATCCATTTTTACCGCCATGTTGGAAGAAACTAGAAGGCGATTCCATCGACGTTGTGGAGAAGAGCTGAGAAAGAGAAAGAGTGATAAAGGAGTTGTGTGAGAGAAAATTGAGAGAGGCAGTGAGTGGAGAGAATTTACCAATATATAATATAGAGTGTGTTGACCTCGGAAATCGAACCCTCCACGTGGCCAACCGATAGACACTCCACATATTTCTTCCTGCGCACAATCAACGCACGATTAGATGCACACGGTCGGAACCAGTGGGGATAGCGACGACCATATACACTCCGACGATCAAGTTAGGCTCAGGTGATCGGAATAGTACCAAGGTTGTGCAAAATAGTGGGGAGGAGAATATATATATATTTGCTTGCTATGGAGTGCTAAGTAGTAAGAGTTTCATTACCTTTGCCTCTTACCAAACATTGGGTATTTATAGGTGAGGAGAACCGTTGGATGTGGGACACGTGTATACATCTGACGGTATCAGGCGTCTGCTCATAGACGTCAATCAGCCGCGTCTATAGAGTAGGCGGGTAATTACTTCTCCCGAGTTGAGTTGATATAAAGTTGATACATCATATCAACTAGTCTCATGGAGCATCAAATCACTTTAAGCCTTAGGGGCAGAAAAGATCTTGACAAAGATCTCATTCTGAAATTGGCGGTGGATCCTCTGACAGAGGTCCCCGGAGTGCATTTCGCCTCGAATTCGGGGATGAGGGCGAGGGCGCTTCGGTCAGTCCCGCAAAATTGCCTATGCCTCGTAGTGTGGTAGCAGATCGCCACCATTGGTGAAGTCACTTCGGAACCACTTCGGATGAGTGTTCCACACCTCGCATGATGTGGTGGTGGACTTTCCGAAGTGGTTCAGATAGGGGTGTAACAGTGGTCCCCCAAGTCCAAGTATGAATATTTATATCATGACTGGACTTGTCTTCCCAATCGGGTATGTATGCCTCGGGATGGGGACCGTGATTTGTGAGAACTTGAGGGTCGATCTTATGTGTTCGCCGAAGCATTGATCCTAGGCAGATGCACTAAAGCTTCGCTACTGCGTGAGGGAAAAATTTATGTGAGATCGAGGTGCTGCCCAACTGGACGATGCGTAGGGAGACAGTTAATGCAGCAACCGAGGCGATGACCCACAGGGGACTCCGTGTCAGGTGCGTCTAAACTTTGTAAAGCTAAGTGAGGAGCTCATCTACCACCGGTGCGCTGACCCACAGGGGACGACGCGTTGGGAGATGGCTAAAACTTTGTAAAGTTTAGGAGGGAACGCAGCGACCGAGGCGATGACCCACAGGGGACTCCGCGTCAGGTGCGTCTAAGCTTTGTAAAGTTAAGTGATGAGCTCATCTGCCACCGGTGTGTTGACCCATAGGGGATGACGCTTTGGGAGATGGCTAAAACTTTGTAAAGCTTAGGAGGGAACGCAGCGATAGAGACGATGACCCACAGGGGACTCCGCGTCAGGTGTGTCTAAGCTTTGTAAATTTGAGTGAGGAGCTCATCTGCCACCGGTGCGCTGACCCACAGGGGACGACGCGTTGGGAGATGGCTAAAACTTTGTAAAGCTTAGCAGGAAACGCAGTGACTGAGGCGATAACTCACAGGGAACTCCACGTCAGGTGCATCTAAGCTTTGTAAAGTTGAGTGAGGAACTCATCTGCCACCGGTGCGCTGACCCACATGGGACGACGCATTGGGAGATGGCTAAAACTTTGTAAAGTTTATGAGGGAACGCAGCGACCGAGGTGATGACACACAGGGGACTCTGCGTCAAGTGTGTCTAAGCTTTGTAAAGTTGAGTGAGGAGCTCATCTGCCACCGGTGCGCTGACCCACGGGGGACGATACGTTGGGAGATGGCTAAAACTTTGTAAAGTTTAGGAGGGAACGCAGCGATCGAGGTGATGACCTACATGAGACTCCGCGTCAGGTGCATCTAAATTTTGTAAAGTCGAGTGAGGAGCTCGATCCGAGGCGGGCATATCTGATGTTAAATAATTTGACAGCTGTTGCGTATTTTCAAGGTGACAGTTGGGTGTAGCGCCCATTTCCCTAAAAAGCTACTGTGGCTATTTATTGTTGACAACTGGTGGTGACCGAG